AAGATATATGTAAAGTGAGTATTTTGATGGATAGTTGGCACAATATTGATGATGAATTGAAACACGACATATGGACCGATATTACGGTATTTATTTTGAATTCTATGATTTGTTTTACAAGCATATTTTTTGTTTAATATTAATAACATCTCTATTGTGTAAACACACGATGTGTTCATTGTTAGTCTAAATGATAAGTACGTGAAAAATAAAATGCTTGCATATTATAGTGAGTGTTGGAGGGGCTTTAAGACACAACTCACCCATGAATATATTAAACATGGAGAAGATAAAGAACAAACTCCATAAAAGGTGTATTCATTTATTGATCAAGATGTTAGGGAGAAATTTATAGAGTCTCGCACCACTTCTGACTTCTTGGCAAAGAGTCAAAAAGGAAAGAAAAATCAAGTTATAAATATCTATCCATATAGGTTGTCTCGTGGAGGACATCAAAGACTTGAAAAAATTTTGATTGAAGAAAAAAGAAAACAAAGGGAGGAAGATATGGGAGATTATATAAATCTTGATCGCACTCCATCTTCACAATCAAGCCACAAGAAATGAAAGAGGGCACATCAAAGAAAATACGGCGAGTTCATATCAGATTCTACACACGAAGTAGCTCAAAGGATTGTAAGTATATACTTTTTTAACAATATTTATTTTTGTTAAATCAATTTGGTAAAGATGAAATTTCATATGTGTTGTAGGATGATCTTGTTGAACAAACCAAAGTCAGCCTCTTCACTTCACAAGATTGTTATGACATCTTGGTAAAAGCAATTGGAACTGAGGAGCATCCTCGGCGTGTCCGTGGTCTTGGTAGAGGGGTTGACTTCAAGGTATTTTTTGGACGCTCTAAATCATCTAGAGAGAAAATCAGTAAGAGAAAGGTTGAAGAGATTGTTGTTGTTGAGTTAGGGAGGGAAATGGAGAAGTTGAAACCGGATCAAGATAAGATCTTGGAGGAGGAGAAGGAGATTTGGTTGCAGGCGCTGCGAGAGAATTTTTTGGAGTAGGAGAGGGAGAGGTTGTTGTAGTCAATGCATTAGAAGTTCTTTGAGGAGGAGAGGGAGAGGTTGCTGCAGAAAGTGTGGGAGAGTGTCCATAAGAAGTAAGAGGATCGAGAGAGGATGAATGAGGAGAAGGTGTCCTAGAAGTGTACCCACTATGTTCTTAAGGTATAAGTTGTATGTTGTTATTATTGTTTGTGTATTTTAATTTTGGATTTTATTTATGTTGTTTTTATGATGTAGAAATTGAGTTTGTTAGTTATATTCAGCCATACAAATTCAAATCAGTTAGAAATTCAAGAGAATATAGTTGAGAAAGTTACGGGTGGTACAAGCACGACACATAGTTTTTTTGTTAACCAGAGCAGTATTGAATCCTCACCACCAAAACAAGATAGCCTTAAGAGACTAGAGATGATGATGACGAGTATTGAAGGCATATTCTTGGGTATTACATTATGTCATGATCCAGGGCATTTATTATTACTTCCTAAGCTTTCTATATATGAATTTCTGAAAGGAGACGAGGACCTAGACAATTCTATATTACAAATTTAGAGCTCGTAAATATAGTTGTATGTTGATTTCTATTTATATTCATATGTTATTGTACTTTAAAATAAAGATTTGACCTTGCAGGTACATTCATGAGATCTATGCTGCAAGAAAGGTTCTAAACAAGTATTATATCTTATATGTTGCGAGGATTGCTCTTACTCGTGATTCGCCAGTACACGAAATCAAAAGTTACTTATAAGAGAAGTTGATGGAGAAAGGGAACATCAAAGATTGTTATATGACCCCATTTTACCGCGAGTAAGTATATATTAATTTTTGTTTTCATTTATAAATCAATTTTATCCATATTCTTAATGATTCTGAATTTTTAAGCAGCCAATAATGGCAACTACTTATTATATGTCCCAAGAAAAATACTATAGTTGTGTTTTGCTCGGTGTACTCGGAACTGTCTGACGTTGTGTTTACCGCTTTGAATGGGTAAGTGGTATTATTTTTAATACTCAAATCTAACTTTAGAATTAAATAGTTTTTATTCATGTTTAATTTTAACCGACATGTGTAGAGCGATGAAGAAATTTAATGCACGCAGAAGAAATATTTTTGGTAAAAAGTCAGTCTAGGTTTATCCAAGAGTAAGTATATTACTTGTGCTTTTTGACATTATATTATTTATGTGTATTAGTGTGACATAAATAAGTAAAAATTATTTGTACTAATGAAAACACCCCCGACGACCATTCTTGTGGATATTATGTTATGAGATATATGCTCCATACTGTCTCTAGAGGCATTATACAAGGATGAATGAAGAATAAGGTATTGGCTTAATCCATATAAATAAATATGTATACTTATTAAGTTAATGTTGTTATTTTTAGCTTATCATACTTTAAAATCTGTTTTAATTATAGAAGCTTAGCAACCAAACACTATACTCAAAAGAAGAAATTGATGACATTCGTTCATGTTGGGTCAGTGTCTTCTTATCTCATTATGAATCTCGACAACAAAAATAGTTTTTCTTGGTTGTATATGAACATAGGTTTTGTCATATTGATGTGCAAATATGATCATGTCAAATGGGTGTATTATATATCTTGATGATAACAATGTAAATTGGCACATTTGATTTAAAATGACATGATATATTCCAATTTTGTTATATATTTTATAATTTATGTGTAAAAAAGTATACATGTAGGTTAATAAATTTATAATAAAATGATACAGGCCATTGGAAATGATATAGGCAAAAACTTGTCAGTGAAATTGATACAATACACCCAAAAAATGATTTTTAACCCATCAGTTCTTACATAAAATCAAGGTAAATGAATACCTTATTACCTTAGATTTTAAATAAAATCGAAAAGTATATGACGTGTGCAACAAAATTTAAAAAATAAAAATATGCAGTTCGTAGGGATCGAACCCATGACCTTTTAAATTATAACCTTGTTTTTTAAAACACCGAGGTGTTAAGTGCTAGCATTTCATGTCGCCCTTCGTTATCTCGCCTGTATAGCCGAGGTTAAATGTATTTCGCGACTGACGTTATAAGTGTTATTTATAGTAGTGTAATCTTGAGCTAACTATGTATCAGCCATCAAATGACCTCTTATGAGTCACTACTTCCATCATGAGCAAATTGTGCTACACCCTTGTCATTCTCTTTTGATTCTTTGTTGAAGTAAAAGTATCTAGCATAGTTATTAGATAATTTAGGCCGTGCTTTTCATTCATGTGATAGTCATTTATATACACAGTACAAATATGTGGTTATGATTCTAATAATCATTGATAATCAATACTAATAATAATCTTTCTATATTTACATATCTAATAATAGTCTCCAAACTATTGGCAACAAAAATATTGAACTTCCTTCATTTCTACCTTCTTTTTGAACTTCTAATTATGAGAAATACCATTCTTGCCCGTCTCACCCTTACTTCTTAAATTCTTTCCTACACCATCACTTTCATTACACTTTTTATTTCATTTTTATTTACATTTGTTGTTCTTTAAGGAGTCTTCTATCATTTTCTTAAAGAATTTGACCTCTAAAGCTTGTTTAGACACCTTTCCAGATTTCTATGTTTCAGCCTCAACTCACGAGCTTGAATAGATGTTTGTAATTCTTCAAGCTTCATCTCTGACAAACATTTGAACTCTTTAATGGCAACAACAATGTGATCAAATTTGGAATGAAGATCTCTTAGAACCTTCTCAATTTTTTGCAATTCAGAGATCTTCTCTCCACACGACTTTATTTGGTTTGTCGAAACGATAACTTTAAGAAGAACTCAACAATGACTTCACCATCATTCATATGCAGACTCTCATATTTTTTCATCAAAAATTGTAACCATGAATTTCTTTAATTTCTCATCCCTATCATACAACTTTTTGAGAGTATCTCACTCATCTTTGACTATTTCTTACTCAATGATCTTCTCTAAGACATCTGAATTCACACACTGATGAATCAAGAATAAGTTTTTCCCATCTTTTTTGCTCAATTCACGATGAGCATCTTTTTGCACTCCAGTAGCATTTGCCTCTAATGCTAATAAACTATCATTCACGATTTTGTGGCACATCTTGAAATCTAATATCACTTTCATCCGTGCACACCATCTATCATAGTTTTTCTCTCTTGAAAACCGATAAATTGGCTTAGAACTGATTGAAGGTTGTAGTCTCTTTTGTCATGGATGGGTAATTTAAATTACAAGTTATTTACAAACTGAGGAAAATTGAAAAATAAAGAGCAATTGAGAGAGATGGAGAGAGGGAGAAATATTAGTATTAGAATGGAATTGAGTATTTCCACAAACATGTGCTATACCCCATACTGAACTAGCAATAACAAAACTAAATTACACATCTAATATCTTAAATCAAAATCATTTCCAAATAGGTGAGAATAACTGATAGGAGAAAAAAGTTATAGAAATTCAAACAAATTTTAGACACAATTAACTATTTGTTATGTATGCAACTGTTTCGATAATCTGTTTTGCTTATATCCAATATGGGACTAGTATAAATAGGCGTTGGCTCTAAAGTGTAATTCTATTCCATTAATTCTTCAATAATACAACCAGTTGGTACTTTTTTTCATATCGTTCAATTTACAAATTGTTAAGTGCATTGTTCTAACACACCTAGCATCTGAGGCTCAGAGCCAAGTTCGATCATGACGAGAAAGAGTGTTCAACCATGAGAATGACATTGAAGAATTTTCCTGATATTCTCCCAACTCAAGGGTGGTAAAATATTATGCATGTGTTGGTTGAAAATAAAACACATGCGTAAAGGGAGGTGTACAATGAGGCAACAAAAACACATTACAAAGCTTTATTACTGATTCATGTAAAAATAAGTTCAGCAAAAGCTTTCAAGAAGCTACTCAATATGCCTTTATTCAAAAACTCTTTCTATACGATTTTTTCATCATTAAAGAAAGAGGTCAAACTCATCACTAGACGTTGAACTTGAGCGTCTAGGTTGAGCTTCAGGTTGCGCGGCTGATGTTGAACCTCCGGGTTGAGCAGTTGAAGTTGAGCATTCAGGCTGAGCACCAGTTTGCGCGGTTGATGTTGAACATCCAGGTTGAGCAGCAGGTTGCATGGTTGAAGTTGAGCATTCAGGTAGAGCAGCTGGTTGAGCAGCTGGTTGAGCAGTTGAAGTTGAGCATTCAGGTTGAGCAGCAGGTTGCGCGGTTGAACTAGACCCTCCAGGTTGTGCAGTTGAAGTTGAGGCTCCAGGTTGAGCAGCAGGTTGCGCGATTGAAGCTGAGGCTCCAGGTTGCGCGATTGAAGTTGAGGCTCCAGGTTGCTCGAATACAACAAGTTGATCATCTTTCACAGTTGAATGGAACACAAAATCTGGAAATATTGTAGTTACCTCCCTGCATTATTAAATAATCACATGAATACACAATATAGTTTAAACATCATAAATATGCATTTCATAAAAACAACACTGCATATACCTTAGATATGGTATAGTCATGATTCTAATCGCTCCAGGATTTCTATTAACATAGACTCGCCACTCATCAATGTCAATATTGCCATCACTGTTCGTGTCCGCCTCCAAAAATGTCTGTCCACAAAAACCACACAATATTTTCACCATAGCTATTTTATTCAATTTTTAATTTTCATAACAAGAGGTTGCATAAAATACCTTGTCTAGAATGTAATCTAATTCCTCATCTGTAGGTTCATGTTGATACTCGCGAAAAACTACAACAAGCATTTCCCTGACCTATCAAATTAAAATTATAACAGATTTAATTCACTTTCATTGAACCAATATATGAACTTTCAGAATATGTATATATATACCTCTTGGCGCTCTATAACTCCATCACCATTCAAGTCATACAGCTTAAATGAAACTGCAACAAAATCCCAAAGTAATTATAACCAGTTGACAATATTTAACATAATACAATTATTAACATTAACATTACAATCTATCTTGGCCTCGACTGGTGTATCCGGGTGGAAGACATGGAATACTTTAACGAAGTCAGCAAAATAAATCTTTCCTTTCTGCTTCAGATCAAATAGATTAAAGATCTGCATATCGAAAATTTTCGTATTAAAAGGATAGTTGTCACAATATGAATAACATAAAAAAGAGTAATTATATTAAGAAAGAAAAAGTATATAGTACTCGATCTGCAAATAAATTTTGTCTTTGACTATCTTTGAAGAGTGCTAATTTAAATTCTTCCTACAAATAAAGAACACACATAATCATAATCATAATCATAATCATAATCATAATCATAATCAAACAAATTAATCAAAATGTAGATAGAAAAATCCCAATACAGAATTTCAATACATAATGTCAATGATAGTACCTTGCTTATTTTTCCGTCAGGTTCGATTGAATTACACATAGTCTTAAAAAGCTCTGTTAATGCTTCGACGTCACTGACAGAAACTGAAAAACCACAAAAAATGCATCACTAAATTCTTCATTTTTTGTTGACAGATACATACATTTTTCTCATGAAGTAAAAGAAGCAATTTGCAATATTCTTATATTTATGTACAAGAATTAATTACACGAAACTATTTAATTAAAGCTTAATTAACAAGATTAAATCACAGGATTAACTGATAAACATACAAGCTGTATCTGCTGCAAGGGTAACTGGATTCTGCGGCCCAGGAAATCGTCCATTTTTGGCCTTAAAGTTGACACACCCCATTTTTATGAATTTCCCTGAAACATTATAACATTATTATTCAATTTTCTGAATTTTTCAAAACATAATCAAAGAACATGAACAACAGTACAAATTACAAAATTCTATGGATTTCAATCAAAGAAAATGACAAACAAAAAAGTAAAAGTAATAAAGAAGATACACATTGAGACAACGATGAAACGATTAACTTGTACGCATACCTTGATTACACTGATCACAAGATTAAAGTAAGATTTAATACAATGCAATCTGCAAAATTCCTCCCAGAACGAGAACCAAATTCTTCAACTGAAAAATTCTTGCAAGAGAAATGAGTCTTGGAAGAGAATGCAGTAGGTGCTGAAGAAAAGAAGAAGAGTGATAATAACTGTTTGAGAAGTAATGGCAGTTAGCTTAGGAATTTATAGTTTGGGAAGTTAGCTTTAGATGCATAGATTCTGTTATTGTTTGTAACAGAATGTAACTGAATTAGTTAGGCATTAGGAATGCTATAATGAGATACTATCTAGGCTTTGTAAATATCTGTTGGTATTTAAAATAAAATGTAGCTAATGCTTATTATTTAATCAATATTGTTTCAAGTTATTGGATTCATTTAGAGCCAATTTTAAAAGAAAAAACAATTCCAGTGAGGTGAAAATATATAAAAGATTGAGCTTATGTAAACTAATCCTAGAGGCCAAGGTAGAATTCAAATAGTATTAGTAATTAATGCACCAACAATAGGGCGGTAAAATAGAGAAAGTAGCTTAATAGGGTTGGTAGCATTGGAGAGGCCAAGCATACTTTTAAAATGAGAATTAAATAACAGCACATTTAAAAACAAAGGCCATGATTTTTTTTAGATAAATTGAAAACTTAGTCATACACATAATTGATTTACGGGTGAAAAAAAGTCGCGGTTGTACTTCTGTCATTAAAATGAAAAGTTAAAACTGTGTGCCATGTTTTATTAGAGAAGGAGAATTCTACTCTGTAGGGAACATAATGGTAGATGAATTACATTGAACTGAATTATATTTATGATTCGATTCAAATTTTAATAATCACTTCAATAAAAATTCAGTTAATTCTTAAAATATTTCAATTCAATTTAAAATTAATTTATAATTTGATTTGTATTTATAAACTAGTTTATAATCAATTTGCTATTTTAAACCACTTATATATTTTGAACTTTTTTAAAACTAAATTTTTTAACTTCATAAAAATTTAAACTAGTTTATACTAAAAATTATATTTTTTAGAATATTTATTTATTTTTTTTAAATTATTTTTGAAAATAATTTTTTTTTCAAATTTTTTTTCTTTTAGATTTAGATTTTGCATTTCCAAAAAAGTATTTTTTTTTATTTCCGGAAAAAAATTCGAATTTTCGTGTTTCTAAAAATCCTTATTTTTGTGTTTTTCAAAAAATCTCGATTTTTTCATATTTTCGAAAAGAAAATCTATTTTTTCGTATTTTCGGAAAAACATGATTTTCCATATTTTTGAAAAAAACTCAATTTGTTTTGTATTTTCGAAAAAAAACTCGACTTTTTTATATCTCTGAGAAAACTCGATTTTTGTATTTTTGAAAAACTCGACTTTTCCATATTTTAGAAAAAAACTTGATTTTTCATATTTTTTGAAAAAACTCGACTTTTTCATATTTTCATAAAAAATCAATTTTTTGTATTTCTAAAAAAAGGTCGATTTTTTGTATTTCCAAAAAAAAACTCTATTTTTGGTATTTAAAATAGTTGATTATCTGTATTTCCGAAAAAAAATTTGATTGTTTTCATATTTTCGAAAAAACCCGACTGTCATATTTTTGAAAAAACTCATTTTTTTCGAATTTTCAAAAAAACTCGACTTTTTCATATTTTCAGAAAAACTCGATATTTCACAACTCCGAAAAAACTCGACTTTTTATTTTTTTTCGAAAAAACTCGACTTAACTCGATTTTATATTTTCAAAAAAAATTGACCTTTCCATCTTTCTGAAAAAACTCGATTATTTCATATTTCAGAAGAAAAAAACTTGGCTTTTTCATATTTTCGAAAAAACTCAATTTTTTGAATTAAAAAAAACTCGATTTTTTGTGTTTTAAAAAAGATGATTATCTGTATTTCCGAAAAAAAAACTCGATTTTTTTGAATTTTTGGAAAAACTTGATTTTTTCGTATTTCTGAAAAAACTCGACTTTTTCATATTTCCAAAAAAAACTCGATTTTTGTATTTTCAAAAAAACTTGAGTTTTTCATATTTTTGAAAAAACTCGATTTTTTTTTATTTTAAGAAAGCCGGTTTTCTTTATTTTCGAAAAAAAAACTCGATTTTTTCATATTTCTGAAAAAAAACTCGACTTTGTCATATTTTGTAAAAAAACTCGATTTTTTTCGTATTCCTAAAAAACTCGGCTTATTCATATTTACTGAAAAACTCAGTTTTTTCGTATTTCCAAAAAAATCGACTTTTTTATATTTTCGAAAAAACTCGATTGTTTTGTATTTCTGAAAAAACTCGACTTTTTCATATTTCCGGGAAAAAAAACTCAATGTTTTTATTTTCGGAAAAACTCGACATTTTCATATTTCCGAAAAAACTCAATTTTTACATATTTCCAAAAAATACTGGGCTTTTTCATATTTTTCAAAAAACTCGACTTTTTTATATTTTTGAAAAAACTTGATTTTTTTGGTTTTTTCGAAAAAACTCGTTTTTTCGAAAAAAAAAATTGATTTATTGTATTTTCGAATAATTAATTTTTTAGTATTTTCGAAAAAATCGATATTTGTTTTTTTTTTATTCAGAAAAAAAAACTTTATTTTCAGGAAAATATTTTTTTTTAAATTTTTTTTTAAAAAAATTATTATTTATTTTCAGAAATATATTTTACTCCCATTTAATTTTTTTAACATTTTTATGAAAAAGAAATATACAAAAAATATTAAAATAAAAATTAATCTGTACATGAAGATCATATGTTAGATCTTCGAATCCCTTATATTTGGGGAAGATCAAATGCTGGATGCCACTATATTTTCCATTGTTTTTGCTTGTATTTGTTTCTGATATAAAACAAAAAAAGGTTAGATAAATAAATGATTTCTGCTCAAATTAATATTTAAGAACACAAACCTTAAACTGAAATAATTTTCTTCTCTTGCAATCTATCATAGAGAACTCTTCATGACAAATATTTTCATGGCAAATGCCCTCACAAGAAAGAATATTGTGGTTGATGTAGATGGTTTATTGTGGGTTGATGTCTTGGTAATATTTTGAGTGTTGATCCTTTATGAATGTAGAGTAGAGATTCGTTGTTGTGGCTGTGTAAAATAACCCCTCAGTATTTTAAAAATCGAGGGAAAAGTATTTTCTTTTTTTAATAGAAAAATAAAATAAAATAAGGTAACCCCTCTGTTTTAGTAAAAAAAATTGAGGTAATAGGTTTCGAACAAAAAATGATGAATGATAAAAAATTAAAAGTAACATGTCATGTTTCCATTTTAATTTTTTACCAGTCACTATTTTTTGTATGCAATTTACACCATTTTTAAGAATAAATTTCTCAATGTTGTCAATCCAAGAAAAAACAATGTTCTTTTCTTTGATAGACAATATTGAAAGGTTATTCCAAAAATTCAACATCAACACCAATATGTGACATACATTGCAAGAGCAAAAAAAAAATTTGTTCAAGATAGAAGAACATTAAAGATTTTTTCTTTCTTCCAATCCATCCCAAAAGAATGATGCATACGAGTGTCATGCGGTTATATATAAGTTAGGATTAGGGTACAATATGTTTAAAGAGTGCTTTTATAGTAAAATTTGTTTATTTTATCCCTCGATTATTACACAAATCGAAGGGATAGATCATTTAGTTTATAACTATAAAGAAATAAAAACATAAACTACTTAAGCTGAGATTCAAAGCATGTCCTGAATTGTTTTCCCCTCGATTATATTAAAAACCGAGGGAATATGTTATTTTTATTTTAAAAACATGGTGCGCCTTGGCATTATAACTCAGTTTTTTTTTGGCTGAGGTGAAAGCTTTGTCATAAAATATATTATTTATAGTTGTGTCTCCCTCATCTTAATAGAGACCCCATAGAACCAGAAATCATACCCATATCTAATCATTATGACTTAGAAAGGGTATCTAGGAATTTCTTGGAGGAAGAAAATTTGTCATATAGTTCACTAGACGCACTTCTATCAAATGTTTGTAGAGGAATAAACCGCGTTGAGGTTCCTATCCCGCCCGCCCCTTAACAAAAGAGTAAATACAAGCCAAATTACAAACGAGAGAATGCACCAAAGATTATATTCAGCTTCTCCTGAAGATCTATGGTTGCGAATGCTGTGATTTCGATGTGAAAGCCCACTTGATATTTGAGATCAATCGTATACGGTGGAGTACGATTGGGTGGATGCAAAATTAACATGAAATTCATCTGTTTTGAGTAATGGGGCTGCTATAGATGCGACTAGAATTGTGTTTGGAGACCCCTTATAATGGTCATCTCTTTGAGCGGGGTCACAAAAGAGGATATGTAGTTCCTTTGGCAACTACATAATATGATATATGAGTGTTTGTTCTCAAGAGTTGGATTGCAGATTCCTTTTTTCGGCTTTGAGGTGGACGTCTTGAAAATTTTAAAAGTTGCTGCTTACCAACTTCATTTGGGGTCTTTAATGCACAAGAGGGTATTTCAACTGTGTGTCGAGAATAAATCATGGAAACCCTCTTTTAGATTATTCTTTTATCTGTTCCATATGAGGTGCACTTCTCAAGATAATTTCAAGAATCATGGGCTCATTTGTTTTCATTAGGTCAACCCTTGGTTTAATCCATTTGGGTTGTAATGGGGCGACTTCAAGGGGGTTTCTTGATGGTAAAGCCTCTCATACCTGCGCCCAGTCTCATTTTCTACTATCTCCATGTCGATTCTCGATGCTTCTGTCAGATTTAGTATCCAGTGTATTGGTCTAAAATCCACTTTAG